TTCTTTTTGCTTATGTGGTGCTGAGGAATCGAACCCAGGGCCTCAGGCATGCAAGGCAAGCACTCTACCACTGAGCCACCTTCCCAGCCCAGAACTAATACTTTTAATGGAAGACTCTAGTGCATATATATATATATATATATATATATATATTTAATACTTTGATAACTGTTTTTTAATGTAATTGGCTGTTTTGTAATCCTATGGGTCTCATCTCAAGCACTTACAAACATGCCTGAGGGCATCTGGGCCACTAAAATTATGCTGGCTGCTTGGCACTGAAGCCACCCAAGAACACACTGAATAGAGGCAAAAGAGAGTGGGAGAGCCTGGCAGAAGCAGAGACAGATATGAACAGATATGCGAGGTGCTTCTTAGAAAGGGTCACATGACCACAGAAGCACACATCTGTCTCACTTTCCCCAGTTACTGCACTTCCATAGCTTCAGAAGAGTGCTGGCATGTTGGCCAGTGTCTACTATCTCAGAGCTATCATGTGTTCAGTGAGAAGCAGTTGGGTGAGGGAAGGGAGGGAAAGGAAAGGCCAGGGAGGATGACAAGGAGGCAAGAGCAGGAACAGCTTTTGTTGCTTGTTGTGTACTTGCCCAGGCCAGTGGGATGGCGATGAAGGCCCACGGGTGACTTTGTTCTCAAAATAAAGTCTCTACTTTCAGGACTTGAGCCTGCCCACCTCATGTCTGCTTAGCAGAGCCGCGCTGCTCACCAGTGCTCCCACCCCCAGACTGCCAACTGCTCATGGTCTCTTCTTACCACCTCCTCTGCTAAGAGGACTAGTGGGGCACTGTGTGGTCAGTATCTGGGGATGGAGCCCTCCTTAGCATCCATTGGGATTTCTTGGCCACTTTTTGTTGAACTAAGTCAATGGTGACCCACAGAGGTGTGAGGGAGTATGAAGAAAGGAATGTGGGATCTAATGGTAATACTCTGAATGCTCTAATGGGAATTCTTCCCCCAGAGAAAGCTCAAACAATCATGGGTTCCAGTACATATGTCCTTGATTCGGGTGGGAATTCTGTTCCTTTCCCTACTGTTTTAGAGTGATCTGGCTCTTTCCACAGGAGCTTCACAACCCCCAACTGTTCCCAGGTAGAACCTGTCTCAAGAGTAGAGCCCTGAGATATGTTAGACTCAAGCAAACTTTGAAAATGGATGCTCAGATGGAAGTCTCCAGAATCCTGTCTGTCCTCTCGTTCCTGTGGTCACCATGACCCCTCTTCTCCTGTGAGCCTGCCTCCCTTGTACCTCGCACATGCCCACATAGGTGAACCTCAGGTTTGCCACGGATACACGCCAGGCTCATCTCCTACAGCTTACCACACAGGGAGACAGTGTAGCCTTCCACAATGCAGAGAGGGTGGCCCAGCACGAAGTAGCCGTTGAACTGGTTCACAACGCTGATGGTGCTGGCAATGATGGTTTCTGCTAGGTCGGCAACTGCCAAGTTCACCAGGATCCAGTTCAGAGGGTGGCGTAGTTTCTTAAACCTCATGGTGGCCACCAGCACAAGCCCATTCGTGAAGACAGATGCAATGACCACAAACATCATCCAGATGGTGGTGAGGTGGTACACCCATCTGGGAGCAATGTGGTAATTTGGACCTTCAAAAGGGCCTAGAGGCAAGAGGTGTAGAACAGAAATAGGAATTGGGCAGCAGCATGACCTACCTGTGACAATGCACTGATCCCACAGGAACCTCCCCATGATGACACTGGGATGAACCTAATCCAGTGGGACTGGTGTGCATGTAAAAGAAACATCGAATACACATAGAGGACCGTGTGAAGGTGAAGGTGGAAATCAGGTGCAACTTCTCAAAGAATACCAAAGTTCTAGCAACTGCCAGAAGCTAACAGAGGCATGGAACAAGTCTTCCCCTGGAGCCAATCCTGCTGATAGTTGATCACAGATTTCTGGTGTCCATGACTAGAGACAACACATTTCTATTGTTCATGCTACTCAGAAGGTGGTACTTTAATCGTGGTAGCTCTTGAAAAGTCAGACTATAAAGAAGAGTAACTTATCTTTATTACAATACAGGGGCTCTCTCCCTTTTTATGTTGGAAGGAGACAAGTCTGCCATCATCATGTTTTTGGCAGAATACTTGCAGTCGTTACAAGCTCTAGTATCTAGTTCTGTATAGTAAGTCCTCATATTGCCTGAGAAAGCATACAAAGAAAGCCCCCAGATGTCTTCGGATTCTTTTGTGGCATATCACAAAAGCCCTGCCCAAAGTAGCTCAAGAAAAGCCCGGTCCAAAAAAAAAGAAAAAGAAAGAAAAGAAAAGCAGGGCCCTTCCTGGCTAGGAGGGTTGGGGGAATTTCACTCCCAGCACCCTGGACTCCAGGATGCTTCTGCTTTGCTGCGTGTATGGGCTCTGTTTGTTCCTAACACAGGGGCTCCCTATGTTAACTCCTGCACAGGAGTCACAGGAACTCCCAACACGAACAGTAGGTGGTTCTCTGTCTGGATGATCAATGGAATACCATTGGGCAGGGCAAGGACAAACGTAGCCAAGTGCCAGGGCCAAGAAGCAGCAGAAGGAAAGGAGGGGCCTGTAGACATGTCACCGGAGCAGTACTGGGTCTGCCCCTGTCTCCTGGAAGTTCTAGAACTGGCTTCATGAAGAAATAAGCAAGAGAATGCTATCATATGGTATCAACGTTCAGACAAATGGGTCTAAAAAATGCAAAGAAGGAGAGAAGTGGGTGAGATGGGGGAAGCTGCCCATCTTCAAATCGACCTTGTGTTTGAGGTTTTAATTTGGAAACTTACAACTAATTTTGAAATAAAATTTTCATTTAAAAAACAATCTCTGATTATCAAAACCAAAGCAAATTAACCTGAATGCATATCAAACCAGTGGCATAACCATCCAGAAGTGTATTATTCTAAGAGACTCAAAGTACATGGGCTTATACAACCTTTTCATCCTTAGGATCAGGAGGAAAAGACATGTATAAATGTTAGTTTTGCCAGGCACAGGTGGCTCACACCTGTAATCCTAGCTACTCAGGAGGCTGAGATCTGAGGATCATGGTTCACAGCCAGGCTGGGCAGGAAAGTCCAGGAGACTCTTATCTCCAATGAACCACAAGAAAACTGGAAGGGGTGCTGTGGCTCAAGTGGTAGAGCTCTCTCCTTGAGCTGAAGAGCTCAGGGACAGCACCCAGGTCCAGAGTTCAAGACCCACAACTAACCAAAAAAAGTATATATATTGTGCTGGTAGTGGGGGTTGAACTCAAGGCCTCATGTTCTCACTCTACTCTCATTCCTGCCTGGTGCTCTACCTATTATCGATGGTTGCGTTCTATTGCTATTCTGAGATGATTTATGCACGCACATATGTGTGTGTTGTAAGATAGAAAAAATAGTAATTGCATGATATTCAATTCTAATTCATGGAGACCAGGATTCTTAATGGGAAGGAGCCATTGATGAGCCAGCTCGTTATTTTGAGAATGGAGAAATAACAGGAAAAAGAATCCTGAGTTTATCCTGCTCTCATAATATTGTACCCTGGGGAGCCCTGTAGTAAAAATGGATTACATTTAACAAATTAATCCACCAATAAGGACAAGGTAAGGAGACAGCAGCATGCCATCATTTGGCATCTCCAATAGTTTCTCTGTGTGTATGTGTGTCTGTATCTGTCTGTCTGTCTGTGCATGCTTGTCTGTGAATGTGGCTTGAACTCAGGGCCTAGGTGCTGTCCCTTAGCTTTTTTTGCTCAAGACTAGCATTCTACCACTTGAGCCACAGCACCACTTCAGTTTTCAGTGGCTCATTGGAGATGAGTCTCATTACTTTTCCTGTGTGGGCTGGCCTTGAACCACAATCCTCAGATCTCAGCCTCCTGAGTTTCTAGGATTACAGGCGTGAGCCAGTGGCCTTTGGCTCTCCAGTGGTTTAATGGGTCTGGGTATTGAGTTTCAGCAACACCACAGAAAGTGTTAACTTCCGATAAAATGGTCTTGCCAGGACACACACATACACCAGCCTGATTCTAGTCATGTTACTGCAGGAAAACCTGATCACACCCTCTAGCTTCACTTGCTCTTAGTGAAGATAATTTTGGAGTTCCCACAGCTAGGTATTGCATTATTTGTTCCCGGTCGCTTTGTTATGGATAACACCTCTGCCATGGGGATTGTGCTAACAGTTGCCTAGGTTACTTTTCAGAGACTTGAAGGCTGCTTTTGCCGAGAAAACACGGGCCCTGCAGATACATAGGCTGTGGATGCGTGCTGCACTATGAAAAATGCTTAGCATTCCTGCCTCCATATTGGCTCTGTCTCTTGTGCTGTCTTAACCTTTGAGTCGGATGTGACTCAGCTGTGCATGTAGGCACACTGAACATTTGGAAAATGCTTTTGTTTCCAGTGTAAGGCAGGATTGACGTAGTCTCTCCCCTTCATCTTCATAGCTTCAGAGAGCAGCCTGGTCTCTCTCAATCAGTGCTGAGCCTTCAGCTCAAGCGGAAGTTGAGCAGCTAAGGCTGAAGTGCTGCTATAAGCCTTCCCTGTAGGTTTGGAACATTTCATGCAATCTTGTTTCTGTTGTTATTGTGCCACAGATTCTGTCTCTTGGAACAGTCAGACTATCAGACAGCTACTTTTTTACAGGAAATTAGTAAGAAGTAAATGATAGTAGAGAAGCAAGTTAGACCACATTGTCTGGTGAAGGAAAGCCCAGGGTTAAACGATTCTCTTATTTTTATTTTTTGGCAGTCATGGGGCTTGAACTCGGCCTGGGCACTGTCCCTCAGCTCTTCAGCTCAAGGCTAGTGCTCTACCACTTGAGCCACAGGGCCACTTCTGGTTTTCTGAGTGGTTTACTGGAGATAAGAGTCTCAAGGTCTTTGCTGCCCAGGCTAGCTTTGAACCGCGATCCTCAGAGCTCAGCCTCCTGAGTAGCTAGGATTACAGGCATGAGCCACCATGCCTGGCTCTCTTTCTCTCTTTCTCTTTCTCTCTCTTCCTCTTTCTCCTCCTTCTCCTTCTCTGCCTCTTCCTTCCTTCCTTCCTTCCTTCCTTCCTTCCTTCCTTCCTTCCTTCCTTCCTTCTTTCCTTCCTTCCTTCCTTCCTTCCTTTTGTTGGTCATGGGGCTTGAACTCAGGGCCTGGGCACTGTCCCTGAGCTCTTCAGATCAAGGCTAGTGTTCTACAACTTGAGCTACAGCGCCACTTCTGGTGTTCTGAGTGGTTTATTGAAAATAAGTCTCACAACCTTTCCTGCCTGGGCTGGCTTTGAACCACGATCCTCAGATCTCAGCCTCCTGAGTAGCTAGGATGACAGGTGTGAGCCACCACCTCCGGCTCTCTTTCTCTTTCCCCTTCTTTCTTTCCTTCCTTCCTTCCTTCATTCCTTCCCTTTCTTTTCCTTTCTTTCTTTCTTTTGTCAGTCATGGGGCTTGAACTCAGGGCCTGGGAGCTGTCCATGCACTGGTTTGCTTAAGGCAAACTCTACCACTTTGAGTGACAGCTCCACTTTCATTTTTTAAAAATTTCTGATAAGAGTCTCACAGACTTTACTGCATGGGCTGGCTTTGAACCAAGATCGTTACATCTCAGTCTCCTGAATAGCCAGGATTACTAGTGTGAGGTTGGTTATATTTTGTCAGACATATACTGAAGATACAGCAAAGAAAGGATATGACGTCTTGGATTTGTTTCTAAGAATCAGAAGGGAAGAGTTAAGCAGAAATGATTAAATTAAATAAGCCTCATGGAAACTGACACATGAGGATCTCGGTGCTCTATAGCCTTTGCTCTAGTTTGGTATAGGCTTGAAGTTGTGTGAAAACCAATCTGATTTCATTTGAAATCAGATACCACTACTAACTCAAGCCTGGGCCGGCAGAGAAAGCACTGTGGCACCTCCATCCCCATTCTGGGGCACAAACAGATGTCAAGGTAAACTGCTGGCAAGTCTGGCCTGAAAACCCTATTGCTAATTCGGCCTTGGCCTTGGCCACTATGGTCAGCATATTATCAACCCAAGGCACTGGGGAGGTTGCAAGAAGGGACATGGAGTGGCTCAGAAGGTGGCTCAGTGAAGAGTGCTTGCCTTGCATGCATGAGGCCCTG